GTTCATGAAGTTGCTCATCACCGCATTAGACAGAATCACTCTTCTATGTACAGAAGATTGCCCCATTCAGGAAACAGTTTTCATTATCTGGGTTTGCTGTTGCTGCTCGTGTTGACAAATTCTCTTTCTGTACCAAGATGTGTATGTGTTGTCCTTTTTATCAGTTGCCTCTTAACTGCCTGTGATGATAGGTCCATCTGGGGGGGTGGGGGGGTGGGGGAAGATTATTTCTTGTTTCTTTTTAATAAATGCAGGTGAGTCAGTCATGGAGCCTCCAAAATTCGTCCTTTTTTTTTAAGCACTTCCAAGTATAGATTTTATTTCGAACAGTTCACACATGTGTGGAATTAGCTGAGAAAACTCATGGGGAGAAAATTTGTTTTGTTTTGGTTTGTTTTGTTTTTTTGTTTTTTTTGTTTTTTTTTGTTTTTTTTTCATTTAAGTGCTAGCAGTTGAACTTAGGAGCCCAACAAGAAGCACTGGACAAATTGTCTTTCTTGGGATGTGTCTTCCTTCTTCTAAATGTGCTGTTAGGGCCATGAATGCTTCTGAATACGCTCAGAACGAAAATAGAACACCGGGTAGCAGTCGTGTCATTAATTTTCCTGTTTTTGCTGCTGGAAACTAGAAGTGTTTGAAATGGGGTTCAGATGAGCTCCCCGACTGGAGAAGTATTACCCAACCAGACTATAAATCACATCAAAGTGTGAGCATGTCAAGGAAGGTGGCAAGTTCATAACCATAATGTTAAATGATACAATGTTATAACTTATAGTAGAAGCATGTGATACTGTTATCAGAATAATCTGATATGTCCCAGTTTGGTATCTTTCCATTTACTTTCGAAAGAATGGGCCAAAGTTAAGGTTCGGAACCTTAATTAAGACTTCGGAACCCTGGGGCGCCTGGGTGGCTCAGTGGGTTAAGCCGCTGCCTTCGGCTCAGGTCATGATCTCAGAGTCCTGGGATCGAGCCCCATATCGGGCTTTCTGCTCAGCAGGGAGCCTGCTTCCTCCTCTCTCTCTGCCTGCCTCTCTGCCTGCTTGTGATCTCTCTCTGTCAAATAAATAAATAAAATCTTTAAAAAAAAAAAAAAAAAAAGACTTCGGAACCCAAAGTAAGACTCGAGGATCTCCTGAATTTGGTGGCAAACAAAAATCCGCCAACTGAGTTGACAGACAGCGCAGTTACGACAATATGTGACCACGAGGACATGACGTGCTGCACTTGGCTTCCTGATCCGGTTGTCAAAGAGCCACCCGACGCGGTGTTCCACGTTGGGAGTGGGGGGGAGGGTTCCATCTGGAAATGGCGTTAAATAGTAAGTGAGAGCAGAGGATCCACAGCCCACCAGGTGCAGCTGGTTTGAATGGTAGCCCTACCACCAACTACCGTGTGTACTCTTGAGTTACTGTGTGTAACTCTTGAGTCTCCATTTTGCTATCTGTGAAATGGGAACAAAAGTATATAATCTCTGTTCATAGGATGTTTAAGATTACGCAGTAATAATGCGTGTACAACACGCACCACCTGGTCCTGGCCAAGGGCTCATTGAATGTTGGTTATAAACTGGAAGCCCCTGAAGGAGACAAACCTTCCTAACAGGAAAAGATTACACCTACAGACCTCCCCAGAAAATCATGGATTGTTTATTGCCTGGAAAGCTCATAGCTAGCTAGCCAAGATTTGCAGGCATTTATAAATATTACCCTTCTAGTATATATTGTGGTTTAAAGGTAATTGTCAATAATTCCAGGGAGGAAGCCTAAGAGGGGGGGGAGGGGTATGTGGCCTAAATCCTGTGGCTTTTAATGGGCTCAGGCTCAGAATTGAGAGGAGCTGCTCCTTTCCTCCTGGTTATACTTGTGGCCTCTTGATTATCGTTTGCCCCCAAAGCTCTTGGCGCTCCATCTCCTGTTCTTGGTGGTGAGAGGGGTCTTGGTGTTCAGAAGTCAGGGTAGTGTGCCTCCAGGGTAATTGGCAGAAGGGGGGCCATTTTAGGGGTTCTTACTTCACCATTGTGGCCTGGAAAGTTCCCCGCACAAGGCATACAGCCTTCTCTTTGCTTTCGCTCAGTATATGACATTCTAGAAGTTTCCTAGTCTGACTTCACTTCTACGAATCCCTGAAAGCATAGATACAAATAGGTCATAAAATAGAAATCAGACTTTCCCCTAAATACAAGCCCTCTCAGGATACCAACAAATTAACCTATGGCTATTTCCTGAACCACTAATTAGTTACCCTCCCACGGGTAGAAACACCACGGAGGCAAAAATTCCTTGGTTTCCTGTATTAACTTCCTCGCTTTTGGCGAAATTCAGGAAATTTTGAAATTAAATGATTTCTGAAGTTGTGCATTATCAAATGTCAGAGTAAAATTACCTGAATTACACCGTTTCCATTTCCGGATGTTGATTTCTTCCTTCTAATTACAAGTACTCCAAGAAGAGCTAGTTTTTATAACCCAGCATGAGAGCAAGTAACTCGCGTTTCTTCAGGCTGACTTCCTGAATCGGCCTGAATACAACTGCTTAAGGCTCAAGATAAATGGTCCCTGTTCCGTCATCGCCATCATCATCATTGTATTTTACGTGCTAAGGGTCACTAGGGAAATGGTCTCCTGATGGTCAGACCTTGTGCTTGATGTTTCCAAAGGAATCTTTCTGGGCTGATAGGTAACATAGGAAACTTGTTTCATTTCTTTTTCTTTTCCTTTTTTTTTCTTTCTTTCTTTTTTTTTTTTGTGGTTTTCCATGAAGAGTAATGTTTACAATAAGGACATTTTATCTGTGTGTTTAATGTTATTTTAAACTCATTCGGTTGGTTTAGACGTATTTATCAAATCCAAGTGTACTTTTAGGTATCTTGCTGTTTGCTTATGAGAAAAACCAAAAAATAAAAAATACGCTTGTCCATTTGAGAGGATTCTGCTGTACCATAAATAAGTGGCTGGAAAGTCTTGTGAGACAGCTTTTTTGTTGTTGATTTTTGCCCCTCTCCCAAATAACTACCATGGGAAAGAGAAAGGAGATGAGCTTTACATCTCCGGCAGATCAGGAAAAAAGTCTTAATGTGACCCTAGTGTTCAGAATTATCCCTTGACTCTTTTCCTAATTTTTCTAACCATGGTGCATGGTCTCTACTGAATGATTATGTGGGTTCAGTATCAATCAGCAAAGGGCCAAATCATGCTATTGGTTTTTAGAAGCAAAACTTACCCACCTCCTGGGCCCCATCCCACAACCTCCCTCCCTTTCTCTAGAGTTCGGTGCATTGTCAGGTTCTGAGCTTGGTTCCTAACAAGTGTTGTGTAAAACAAAACAGAAATAAGTCTGTTTCCCTTGTTCTTATATTTTTAAAATTCATAAGGTTGGGTTTCAATTTCCTTGTATAAGTTACGTTATGAAAGCAACCTCACAAAATAGCCTACATCCGGTCTTGCTCCCTCTTTGGAAATGGCGGTAGTGTCTCTCTTATTTTTAATCTAGGGGCCGAGCAAAACGGTATCAGAACTCTATCGTACTTTTCTCTCCCCATCTGCTTCATGTTCAAGCCACCACATGGGAACCGTGGCTCAAAACTTAGCAGAATGTTGTACTGTCTACCACTTCTTGATGGCTTATTTCGCACCAGGAACTAGGTTAAGTACGTGCCATCGCTTTCATTCGATCAGTACAATGAAGTAAAGTAGATATTAGCATCTGCGAGCTCATTGGGGAATCTGAAACTTTGAGAGGTCAATTTCACATAAGTAGGAAGTGAAAAGGCCACAATCTGATCACTGGGCCCCCACTCTCAAAAACACGAACGTGGTAAATGTGATGGGAAGATGTAGTAGAAAGTAAAGCAGTGTCCTGCTCCATCATCGAAAATCAGCTGTAATTAAGATACCAGGTTTCCCCTCCGCCTGGGAGATGCCAGCGTCCTCTGCGTGCATATGAGGGCTCATAGAATTACCACGTGCTCCTGTCACACCTCAAGGAAGATAGCAAATCATCATCCCCCTACCTTCAGTGTTCTGACCCAGCCTTGGCAAACAGCCTTCTAAAATGAAAGTGGAGGACGAGAAGCAGAGTAACTATCCAGGCTGCGTGATAACTGCCATATTTCCCAGTTAAGTAAAACACTGTCACCCTGACATTCAGGACTGAAATGAAGAGGTGTCATGATGCGAATTTCATGCATGCTTTGAGTCAGATGCCTTCCAGTGTGTACGTACTCTTTGAAAGAGAACAGGAGTCCCTGCACCTGTACCTGCATTTGCTCTCTGTATGTTTAGGAGTGGTATTGTGGTTCTCCAATGAAAGCGACTTCTGCTCCATGTCTCTGTGCTCTTGGGCTAACAATCACAAGAAGTAGGTATCCAATAACTTAATATAATAACTACTTACTGCAGATTAAGGGTACTCCCATAGCTGTGTCTTGGAGCCCAGCTTTGGGCTCTGTACCAAATTCTCTTTCTTTGAGAGCATTGACACCTGGGGACTCGGTTCCATTGAGGTTTTTTCCTATATCCCATACATCCACGCAGGATACTAAGTTCTTCGTTAAATTACAAATCAATTGCCTGGCGATACAGCTGGACAAGGAATGTTCCAGAAGACTTTGGTTTTTGACCTTAGCTGATAGGAATTTTCAGATGATGATGCACGCTTCTACACAAAATACGACCAGGCCAGAATTGGGAGCCATTTTGTTGAGGAAACTGAAAATCCTCACCCTTTTAAAAGACTGAGTGACAGCCGACTAATCCCACATTATTTCCTAAATTCAAGGTTACGTTTTCTGCCTCCCTCACACTAACGTCACTTCTCCACGTTGAGAAAGAACCACAGCGGCATTTGGCTTCTGTTGACCTCCCAAACCCAAATCACTGATCCTTTGTTTTTAGTACTTTGCCATTTTGCTTTTGCTTTTTTAATTTGCTTGTGACTCTCTGCTTCCCCCATCTTTTTTTTTTTTTTTGGTACAATGATTCTTACCTTGTCTTTCCCCAGTCCGTTTCTGACCTGGAGAGACGTGCAGCATGTTATTGTCAGGACTTCCCGTGCGGGACATTTGAACGCTAATGACTGGAAAACCAATGCTGCTGGTTTTAAGGGTGAGAATTTCTTTCATATTCTGTCACAGGCAAAATATTTTTATTTTTCCCCCATTTTAAATGGAGAGCTGAAAGTAGAATCCCTCCAGAGAAACTTGAAATTGTGTGCTGACACACAGAGAGCTGGCCCTTGGAGTAACTAAAAGGCAGATGGATTTTTTTTTTTAATTCAGACAACACATAAAAGGCGGATTTCCTTGGCTTCCCACATCATAGGTCAATTTCTTAAAAGGCAACTAACTTCCAAGTATAGTCGACCTATGGGGCTTCTAGTTAGTTTGGGGTTGCTGTCACTGGTTACCTGAGTGGTGTTTGTAACAATGTATGTGAAACATCCTCCTCTTCTATAGTGATTACTTCCGTTTCAGTAAAGACTGGTATAGTTTGTTCACTGTTCATTTCTAGGCCATGCTTGCTCTGTTTTTGTTTTTGTTTTCTTAAACTTCCACCAACAGCTAGCTCTAAGACATTACTTTATGCAAATGGAAAGTGCTTATGCAACTTTGTAACATACAGTCTTTATACAATTACACACATCATATCACAAGTGCTGACTGTTTTTCCAGCGGCTGAGGATTATAGTTCCCTCAAACTTACTAATGTTGGGCGGTTTGTCGTCACCCATAATAAACGTTAGAACAAAAAGAAATCACATGAGGCAGATGTCCTAAAGTTTCATGTGACTTAAATTTTAATCCACTAATATGTTATAGCAAAGATTACTCTCGGTCATATCTGCAGACTTAAATTTACTCCCAAATAATGTTGGTATCATTATATATCCCTGTGGATGAAAACTAGTGTCCCATACCATAGGGGATATCGGCTCAATAATTGAGGTTCTGGTCTTCAGATCTTTGGTAACGTGTCGAATAATTCCGGGCAAGTCATTTAAGTACTTTGGGTCCTAACTTCCCCATCTTGAACATTTTAGAAGCTGAATAATATTACCTACATACGATTTCTTAAATATGATTTTAATATATCTTCAGTGAATTATACCCAATATATGCAAATATCCATGCTGCAAATGTAAAATGTAATTTTAAAAATTACTTGCATTTATAGTCTCATGCTTAGCCAAATACACCAGATAACCAGTGTCCTATAAAATATTTCTTTGGTTAACATCTTCACTGAAGACGTCACTCCGTGTTTAGAAAAAGAATATCCCTCTGTTTTTGAGTAGTAGGAGCCACCTCCCCTTACTCTTAAACTATGTAATATAGCAGTGTTCGGTGAGCTTTTATTCTAGAGAGTTGTAAATCCTTGTTGGGATCACATTGTCTGAAGCCCAAATCACGATACTAGATCCCAAAATAGCAATTGCTTCACGTGGCATCAAAAACATGTGAGATTTCAGTTGTTGAAGAAAATCCAGGATGTGCTTTGCCATAGGATGTTTCTTTTTGACGAGCCTCCGCACCCTCCCAGCTCTTACTATCTAAATCCATGAGGCTGAGAGGTAGGTCTGGGAAGAAGGAGGAAGGGACCAAAACATAACTTTGGCTGGTTCAGGGCTCTGCAGTGAACTTTTTAGCAGAAGGTTCATAGACTAAGCACATTGACCTCCATGAAGCTGAGGAATCAACTTTAACCCAAATAAAAGTCTTAGTTTTACTTATTCCTTTTTGGCAAGTTAAAAAGAGCAAATGGTTCTAATAAAAAACGTAGCTCTTTTGAAAACCTCTGTTGGTTTTGGAGAGGGGGGAACAGAGGATATAGACTAACTCCCCAGATCCAAACCTGAGTCTGAAGAGGGCTCTGCAGTGCTCGTGCAAGGAGGAAAGAGCATTTTACTATTGCACGTGACAATATTTAGTATAATGTTTCACCGTTCTCTTAGCTTGTTGCCAAGAGTAACAATTAAAGTTCGCTTTTTCATAGATGAATTACCCTGAACGGTCTGGACTCCCAGTGGAATTGTTTTGTAATTTTGTTGATGGCAAGCCCCATATTTCATCTAAACATGATCAGAATAATTTTTTAAAGAGCTATGTTCTTCCCTATCCTAAGCATTACCATCCCCTCCCTGGTGTCCCACAAATAAAAGTGATTAAGGCAGAGGCTCGCAGGAGAAGCCACGTGCTTTGGGGAAGGAAAGGATGCAGGTCACTGGGATAGAACAAAGATGGGCGACTTTTTATGAAATAAGAACTGAGCAAACAAACAAACAAAAAATAGCTAATGCTTGGAAGGGCTTCATGCAATGAGAGCTCCGTGAGAGCTCGTATTTTAAATGAGGTCAGCTAGTTTTTGCAGCTTAGCAAGAACACATGGCCACACATTTCTCCTTAGACGGGAGAAGCCCAGAAGTTGCCTGCAAACAGGAGCCTGTGGCCACTGGCTGCTCTTCTCTGTGCCACTTCAGCCCTGATGCAGAGTGAGGTGTGTGCCTGAAAGGCATCCAAACACATCTGTGCTCCCCAGGGCTTGCTTTTGTTCCCTTAATGTTGAGCAATTTAAGTTGTTTGAGTAGTGTTTAAAAAACAAAAGCAAACATGGCGGGGGAGGGGAAAAAAAAGACCTGAGAAGAGTTTCAGGGATGGCTTGGTAGGTGCACCTCTGCACTGGGGATGTCAATATCAACTTGAGAATTTCCTTCTGCCGCTGAGAGTAGCAACCAATTCAGTATGGGGGTCTTGTCATCGATACACTCGATAGTCATCACTGGTAATTTCAGAGAAGCCAACACCCTAAAGAACAATTCCTCACCAGACCCTGCCAAGTCCTGACATTTCTGCATGCAGGGTCCTTACATTTCTTCAGACAGAGCGATATATAAGACAGCCCAGGCAGAGAGCAGTACCAGATGATCGATCAGCTGGATTGGTGTGGGCCTCTCCGCCAGGCAGGCTTGATGCATTGTAATCCACATGTGTTACGGACCTGGAAAATGCAGCTGCTGGCTTTCTGTTGACGGGCACAGGCGAGGAGGTTAGCCTTGAAAAACCAAGGAATGTGGCTCTCTGCTGACTCATCTGTATGTTTCTCCAAGAGTGAGATTACCCTGGAGTTACATGCTGATGAGTTGGATACACAGTTTCCTCCTCCTTTTTCTGCGTTCTCTTTATAGGAACATGCTATCCAGATAGATGAGCTCACAGTGAAGGGAGCCCCTCAAGCTGGAAGTTACTCATCAATATTTTTGCGCTAATTGTATCTTAATTTTTAACAATTTTAAGCGAACTAAGATGATTCTTTCTGCTTTGTAAATAATAATAATAATCACTTATAGTTTAATTAAAAGGTCTTTTGCTCATGATCTGTTTTTCTAAGTAAATGTAGTCCAAGGAATGCATACCTATGGAAACTGACTAAACATTATTTGGATGGTTCATTGTATGAGTAATTTTAGCTAAATTTCATACACATTCTGACTTTAAACTTCCTCCAGAGATAGTTGCCTTAAAAATGAATAAATACCATTCACTTATCAAAGAATCTCCTTGAGGTTATTCATGAGGGTAGGAAAGTATTTGTATGAGGCCAGATGAACAGATGTGATATTTGCCACTAGAAAACTGAAATCCGAATTCCCGTATTCTGCTACTTATCAGCATTTGCAATGCCGGGAGATGGCTTTGGCATTAAATCATTTATTCGGGTTTTTTTTTTCCCCCCAGTGTTACTTCCTTCTCCTTTGATGCCTTCCTTTCCCTCTTATGAAAAGTCTTCACTAGTTTTTTGGTTTTGTTTTTTTTTTTTTTTTTTTTTTTTTTTTTGTCTTTTCCATGCTTTTTAATACCCCGTCTATGCTCCTTACAATGCACAAATCAGCTGTAGAAGCAAGGGCTTTTTGCCATTTGAGCGGTTTTCTTCACAGGACTTAATTCATGCATTGTCTTCGTTTATTTATTTACAAATACTTGCTGAGTACCTTCAGCACACCAGCCCAACACATGAGGTGCACCCAGAAAGGGGAAGCAAAAGGAAATGTCAGGGGGGCCCCATGGCATTGTGTAATCCGATCTGGCCACAGAATGACTTACGAACAGAAACAGAAATTTACGCTGCACTTTTCTTCCCTTCCGTCAAGCTCAGATGATCTGCCAGGTCATGTTTATAAATAAAAAGTGTCAATGCAAACTTCCCTGGTCATCAAAAAATGCAGCCTAACCTCCCCAGGAAAAGGCATCTGATGTAGCGACTATCTTTCGTGGCAAGTCACAGATATTTTGACCAGCTCTTGTTTGTGCATAGAGGATCCATGGACCAAGCCCAGCACGCTGAGGACTTTCATTCGGCATTCTTCTAGAATCCATGGCTCCTGTCATTTCAGGAAGCACTTAGCTCTTTGTTCTACTGCTTTAATCTGTGGAACTTGCAAACCCACCTCTCCCATCCCCCTCAGTTGCCTGGGCTGTGCCCAGCAGGCTGATCCTCCCCTGCCTCCTCTCCCCTCCCCCTGCCCCATACCTGTGGTTTGTGGATACACTTACAAGTACAATTGAATGCATGCAACACTGGTGCTCTAGTTTTTTTCAAAGTGTCTGTATTTGGATTATATGACTGTATACAGTTAAACTCTCTTAAATTTAGGAACAGGAATAGACATCAGATAATAAATTAGGACCTTCTGTCATCTTTACTAGGCGAAAGAATGAAAAAAATGTCATTGAAAATCAAAAATGACAACTAAGTGAGCGAGGTTACCACGCCTTCCATTTCACTGCCCTCCCAGACTATGTAAGTCTCTCTTTTTCTACCAGCATGTTGCTGAATCCTCCTCATCCCCACTGACTCTTTCTTTGACCACCACTAAACTACTAGACTTTTTTTTTTTTTTTTTTTTTATTTTCTAACTGATTTCCCACCATGGGAAAACAATTGACAGTCTAACATGACTTCTTAGCCTCCAAGGCCCTAACTTTTAATAACCTTTATTACCTTTAATTGCCATCATTTTATTTCCACTGGCAGGGCTGGTAATTTTAAGATGTTCCAATATATTTTTAATATCTGTCTTGCTTTCAGTTTGTAACACTTATTAAAAAGAA